ACTCCAGATACCTAATTGCATGGCCTTTTCTGACTTAGCTAATGAAGTCTCCTCCATATGGAACAACTATTCCATTCACATATGCCTGCTAATATTTTTATTATTGTTTTCTTAAATAAAAAACTTATAAGGCTTTCTTAAATAGAGAAACATAACAATCTAAAGATGTCCATTTTCCTCCAAATTAGAACACATTTTTGACAAGCTGGTAGCAAAACTAAAAGAAAAAGAACTAAGTGGTAATTTCAAATGCAACACACATAAGGTAATTATTTAATCTATGAATAATGGCAGTTTTATTTCTCTTACTCCAATCCTTATATCTTATTTGCTAGGCTAGAATGTTCAGGATTACTAAATAGAGAAAACATCCCTATCTGGTTCCTAATATCAGAAGGAAAGCACTCAAAATTTCATCATAAAACATGAGATTTGCTTATAGGTGTTTATATATATATATAATATATAACAGTCATCAGATTAAAGAAGTTCCTGCTGCAACTGATTTGCTGAGTGTTTTTTAAAATAATAAATGGGTATTACAAACCTTTTTTCCTGCACCTTCCCAAATATATAGTATTAATACCAACTGCTATAGACTGAATGTGTGTGACCCTTCAAAATTCATACGGTTAAAACCTAATCCCCAATGTGTTGGTATTTGGAGGTGGGACCTTTGGGAGGTCATTCGTGTCATTATAAAAGAGAAGCCCTAAGAACTCTCTTGCCCCTTCTGTAAAAGGACACAGTGAGAAGACAGCCATCTATGAACCAGGAAATGGGCTCTCACCAGACACTGAATCTGCCAGAACCTTGATCATGGACTTACCTGCCTCCAGAATTGTGAGAGATAAGTCTTGTTTCTAAATCACTCAGTGTACAGAATTCTATTATAACAGACTAAGACACTGAGTTTAATGAAAATACCAGTATGTTAGAGTATAAATTGGTATAACATTTGAGAAAAACATTTGGCCTTATATACTAAATTTGTATATATGCATTCCCTACGAAATTCTAATTCCATTGTCTGGTGCAATGCTCACGGCAACATTATTTGTAATAGCCCCTATACAAAAAAGCGTTAACATGGCAGATCCAAAACGAGTAACCTTAGAAAAGCCTGCAAGATTGAGCCATTGGCTGCTATCTACAAATTTGGCTGATAAACAGTTTCCTACACTGATATAAAACTTTCTCTAACCAAAAAGGTGAAAGCACTTCAGATAAATGAATAAACAATTTGTGGTATATATACACAATGGAATATTATTTAGCCTTTTATAAAAAGGTAGAAAATTCTGACACAAGCTACAACATAGATGATCCTTGAGGACATTATGCAAAGTGAAATAAGCCAGCCATAAAAAGACAAATACTGTATGATTCCACTTATATGAGGTACCCAGATTAGTCAAGTAGAATGGTGGTTGACAGGAGCTGGGGGTAGGAAGGAATGAGGAATTATTGTTTAATGGCATGGAGTTTCAGTTTTGCAAGATAAGAGGTAGACAGTAATGATAGTTATACAGCAATGAATATATTTATACCACTGAATTATATACTTTAAGGTGGTAAATTTTATGTGTATTTTACCACCTCCTAATAATATCAGCTCTTTTTAAAAATGAGAAATAAGTGGACATACAAAAGGCCAAGAGACATGAAAACATGCTCAAAGTCACTAATCATCTGAGAGATGCAAATCAAAACGACAATGAGGTACCATCTCACACCTGTCAGAATGGCTATCATCAACAAATTAACAAACAACAAGTGCTGGTAAGGATGTAGAAAAAAAGGAAACCTCATGCACTGCTGGTGGGAATGCAGACTGGTGTAACCACTGTGAAAAACAGTATGGAGTTTCCTCAAAAAATTAAAAATGGAACTCCCATTTGACCCAGTAATCCCATTTCTAGGAATATATCTCAAGAAATCAGAAACACCAATCAGAAAGGATATATGCACCCCTATGTTCATAGCAGCAGAATTTACAATAGATTTGGAAACAGCCTAAGTGCCCATCAGCAGATGAGTGGATTAAAAAATGGTGGTACATCTACACAATGGAATAATACGCTGCTGTAAAAAAGGAACTCTTACCATTTGCAACAGCATGGATGGACCTGGAGAGCATTATGCTAAGTGAAATAAGCCAGTTGGAGAAAGACAAATATCACATGATCTCATTCATTTGTAGAATATAATCAACAACATAAACTGATGAACAAAAATAGAGCCAGAGACAGAGAATCATCAAACTGTCAAACCTCAGAAGGAAGGCAGGGGAGGGTGGGGTAAGAGATCAACCAAAGGACTTGTATGCATGCATATAAGCATTACCAATGGACACAGACAATAGGGGGCTGGAGGGTGTGAGTGGCTGGGGAGAATTTAATGGGGGGAAAAGGAGACATATGTAATACTTTAAACAATAAAGAATTTTTTTAAAAAAAGGAAAATAAAAAGTTAACCAAAGCATGGCCATTTAAAAGAGACGATTACTATTTATACTTTCAGAGCTAGAAAAAGATGCATGTTTTGGGGTTTCTTTTGGAGGGAGCAAATGAGGTCTGTTATTTTTTCTTTTACTACTGAAATAATCTTTAAGCATAGACTCTACTTAAAGTAATTTGTTGCTGGAACTGTCATAATATTCTGATGTCTGCTTTGCTTCCAATTTTGTTCAAACTCTTTTTGACATTTAAGGTCAACTTTATTAGTCTAGATCCAGTAAGATTTCTTCCATAGTACTGTAACATTTGACCAATAAACACTTTTATTTTTTCAAAACAAAAAATTTGCCCTAATTGATGAGGGTGGTTCACTGTGCCTGGACTATGTTTGCAATCAAGTTGGTTTATGCTGAACAATGGTCTCCTTCTGGGAGTCTGGAATTTGCTAAGTGCTAGGCAAAGAATGCCTATGTGTCCAGACCACAGTAAAAACCTTGGGCACTGAGTCTCTAATACGCGTCCCTGGGCAGAAACATGGCATACATGTTGCTGAATTTTCATTGCTGGGGAAGAGTGAGTTCTGTGTGACCAATCACAGGAAGCCTGCACATGGATTCCTGCAGATTCCAACCGTGTCTTTCTCCCTTATGATCCAGCTGGGTATCCTTATTATGCCTCTGTAATAAATCTTAGTTGTAAGCATGACTCTGTGCTAGGTCCTGGGAATTCTTCCAGTGAACCTCAGTACAAGGGGTATAAAAAGTATAAATTGTGGCATACTCTTACAATAAAACACACAGCAATGAAAATAAACAACCTACAGCTATATTAAACAACAGCGATTGAATCTCAAATGATTAATCATTTACTGCTTTTGCCTTGTATGAAAGTTTTTACCCATACTTGACCAAGAATCATTTAAGGTAGCAGTTCTTAAACTTCGTATTCTCAGAATCCCTCTAATTTATTTGGGTTCTGTCGATCAATTATCAACCCTCTTAGAAATTAAGACAGAATTTGAAAAATGTTATTAATCCATTTAAAATAGCTATATTTTCCAAAAAAAATGTAGCGAGAAGAATGGCACAATTGTTACAGTTTTGCAAATCTCTTTTATATCTAGCTTAATAAAAGACAGCTGGGTTCTTCAAGATGCTTCTGCATTTAATCTGTTGCAACATCTTGTATCAAGCAACCTCTAGAAAATTCCATCATACACTCACGAGAGAATAAGAGTGAAAAGGCAAGTAACATCTTAGTATGATTATGAAAATAATTTTTATCTCTTGGAATTTCTACAGTCTGAGAGATTCCCTGATTACACTCTGAAAAGTGCAACATGAAAGTTTAATACTGTGATTCATCTTTACCACCTATAGAGGGTAACATGCAGGAGCAATGGGGTACTTTCACTGGAAATAAATCTTGAAGAATTCGATTTACAAACTTTGGGAACTGGCAGAACTTCCCTTATCAACACTGAGAGTCAAACCCTACCCAGCTGTCACTGTCAGAAAATCACTCCCTTTTACCATGGGGTCACCACACTTAGTCTAGAAAGAAAAATTGTGTGTACCTTAAAAACTCCAAAGAAACTGTATTTTCATGAGGAGCTGTAGAACACTTATTTAATATTATTTGATACTATTTATTTAAATCATGAAACTTATAATTTTACAAATTATTCTTCTGAAAATTAAGCTCGATACTTTTCCTTTTTCTCTGGCTTGGAAACAATGCACTAGGCACCGAATATATTAAGTAGCCTGTTGTTAATTTGGTTGAACCTCAGTGGCTTGTTGAAACTCAGTTTTAAGGCATATTCAAAGTTTCTTAATGGAATTAAATCAACAGCATAAGACTATTAGGTAAACATTATAGATTTGTTTCTTTGATAACCTTTTTTTAAAAATATGTTTTTATTGATTTTAGAGAGAGGAAGAGAGAGGGAGAGAGGGATAGAAGCAACAATGAGAACCATCGATTGGCTGCTTCCTGCACACCTCCTACTGGGGATAGAGCCCCCAACCCATGCATGTGCCCTGACAGGGAATTGAACCGTGACCTCCTGGTTCATTGGTTAATGCTCAACCACTGAGCCACACTGGCCAGGCTTGAAAAACATTTTTTTTTAAATATTTTTTAATTGATTTTCTACAGAGAGGAAGGGAGAGGGATAGAGAGTTAGAAACATCGATGAGAGAGAAGCATCGATCAGCTGCCTCCTGCACACCCGCTACTGGGGATGTGCCCGCAACCAAGGCACATGCCCCTGACCGGAATCGAACCTGGGACCCTTCAGTCCCCAGGCCGATGCTCTATCCAGCGAGCCAAACCGGCCAGGGCGAAAAACATTTTTATACATGGTTGAAATCCACAAATCAACAATTTTACACAAGGTATATTAATAACTAATCTAGTTTGTAGATTTTACCACATTGCTACAGGATTGGGAGTGAGCAGAAATATGTACAACTTCTCTGCTGGCTTCAGTTTTGAGCCATATACTCAGGCAACTGTTGACAGTGATGCTGTACTTACCACCAGTGCTAGAACAAGTGTCCGAACCTTCTCCCCAATCTCAGGTGAGATGTCATTGCCAAACTGTTGTAGAGTGGTGAGAAAGCGTTTTAACTTGCTGAGCTGTCGAGCACCACAGGTGGCTGGCAATTGTTGATTTGTTAGTGCAGATGACGTGGAAGAGGCAGGACCATTGCTGAATCTTTGTGGTGGTGATGGGGCACCATTCAGCGTAGGAGGAGAATGGTTGGTGCCATTGCTTACTAAAAGAAAGCCAAAATGAAAGACTCAATGCAAAACACAAGAATCTTTGATACGTTCTTCTTGTCTGCATTCTCCTTCATTTATTCACTTCAATTTTATAAAGCATACGTTAAGAGTACACAAGACACTGTTTCTACCCAACAAGATTAAGACATACTGACAGGTAAAAAAATGATAACAGAGTCACATAAAAGGTGTTAAAACAGAAGAGTAAAGTGCTACTAGAGCACAGAGAAGGACATCTAGCTCTACAGGTGCCATGGGCAAGTGTAGGTAGTTTTAAGACTTCCTGCAATAGTTACTGGATGAGATAAGTTTGGAAGAATATATTTCCAATGAATGGACACTCGTGTTCATCATTTATGTCACATCTCCTCAATCTTAGGGTCCCAAAGAAGCTAAGGCAGTCTATTATAATATAGCATGTGAACAAGACACACCAGAAAACAGTCGTTACTGTGAAAAAATGTTTTTTTCTAGGCTATAGGTTTAATGACTTATTCCTGTAGTAAGGTATATATATCTTGGCTATTCAGAATATTCATGCCCATCAAAGTCAGTTTTTCTCTGCTTTGACAGTGCTAGATTAACACTTCCAAATACTCATTCAATAAAGTATCTTTCTAGACACCACACAGGACACTCCCATTCTACATTTCGGCTTAAATTATAATACATGTGACTAGTTTCAGTTTTTCTATTTTCCCATTATTCTTAGTCATATTTTGCTAGTTTTAATTTGGTACACAATCCTAGAGCTAAATTCTTAACAGCATTAAGTAAAAATCTCCTTTTTCATTAAAGAGTGAAAATTTTAAAATTACCTAATGTCTAAGAGTCAATATATTTTCACTTACTCAGACCCAATCTAAGAATATAAAGCTGTGTCTAAAAACATAAGAAACAATTTAAGACTTAAGCCAAACTTAAAGAACATAATCATTTAACCTTTACCTCACTTAGAAAACTGTCATTTACTTATATTTTGCCTAATGCCAACTTGTTAATCATGAAAAATCTCCCACTTCCCTTCTTCCTCCAAGCCAGTCATAGTTGTTTGACCAACACTATTCCTACTTCTTGAGTGACCTTTATTTAAATTTGATCTGTAAACTCTTCTTCATCCAATATAGCTTAAATGACACCTGTATTAAGGATTCCTTGAGACTCTGCCTTAAGGTAGATTTAGTAATTCTTCTCTGTGCTACACATGCTTCCATTATGTTATTTACCAAATTATACTTATTTGCATTGCCTTAATATATAGCACACTTTTAAAAAATATTTTTTATTGATTTCAGAGAGGAAAGGAGAGAGAGAGATAGAAACATCAATGATGAGAGAGAATCATTGATTGGCTGCCTCCTGCATGCCCCCAACTGGGGAGAGAGCCCACAACCTGGACATGTGCCCTGATCGGGAATCGAACCTTGACATCCTGTTTCATAGGTCAACACTCAACCACTGAGCTACACCAGTTGGGCTATTGTATACTTCTTGATGAATATTCTTACATATCCATGTATACTAAAATTAGCTAAGTTTTGTAAGCTGTGTATACTGTATATACTTTAGCTTTGTTCATTAGCTAGTAATATTAAGTGTTCAGGAAAATTCTGCTGAATATGACTCACTGCTTAAAAGACTAACAGGCTAAGAAAAAAAGGGTGCTTTCTCTTTTAAGTCTTTCATTAAAAAGATCACTAGAGCCACTGGAAAGAAAGCTCAACACTCAGCCTTAGCAATCCTGAAAATTAGTTGCAATGGTCTGCCATTTCTTTGTGTTCACAGAAAAGTCAACTGCCACTGGAGAGCTGCCCTCTTTTGAAGCAGCCCATTAGAATAATACATTATTGTGCTTTTAGCCACTCTGATGCCCAGACAAGCTTTTTCATGGCCTCTTTAGTGAAAGCTTATGATTACATTTTCTGAAATAAAACATGTCCACCCCCAAGTAGTCAAATATGGAGGTAAAAAGGACCAAATTTATATATACATATCTCCACCTGTATCTTGAAATCTGAATGATAGCTTGGGTTTAAATCTGTTTCATTTCAAGACAGTACTTATATCTAAGATGTATAACTTTGAGACAGAAAACATAATTTAAGAAAAAAAGATATCAAAATTAATTTCTTTCACTCTGGCTCAGACTGCTGCAGTTACCACTCACTCATTTCAAATGTTTGAGAAAATAAAAATTAAAGCTTCTATTAAAGCTGTACCTCTTAGACTCCCTTCTCTTATTGTTAAAAATAATTTACACAGAAAACATAAATGTTTAAGCAAAAATAGTGTGCAAGCTTGTGCAATGGTGTTTAAATAAGAAAATGCATATAGCACCTAGTACATTGCTCTAATTTGATATGGATGGGTACTACCCAAATAGAAATTTTCTGCTATCTGAGGCAAAATGTCTGTAAGGGTCAATGTGAACTGGATGTAGCATGGGCATGGAAAAGCAGAACACAAATTAAAATCTAGATGTGTGTGTATATCTCTCTTTAGATTTTAGATTTTAAATTGAGGGCTTTTTGTTTTGTTTTTTAAATATGTATGTATGACTGAATTTGCTGAGTTATAAAATTTGTGGAAATTCAGCTTTAGAAGATACTGCCAAACAATTTCCTCAGACTTAAACAATGTATGAGTGTTCAGGTTGCTCCACACATACTCACCAACACTTGACAATTCTTTTTCACTTTGAACATTCTTGTGGGTGTACATGGTATTGCACTAGGTTTTAGTTTGCATTTCCTTGATGAGTACTAAGTTGAATGCCTCAGATTTATTGGCTAATAGAATTCTTATTAGCTGAATTGTGTCCCCCACAAATTCCCATGTTGAAGTTCTAACCCCTCAGTAACTCAGAATGTGACTATATTTGGAGATAGGACCTTTAAAGGTTAATTGAGGTCATATGGGTAGTCCCTGGTCCATTATGACTGTTGTCCTTAAGAAGAGAAAGGGACAACATGAATGCGTTGGCACAGAGGCAAGGACATGGGAGAATATAGCAAGGAGGCAACTTTGCAAGCTAAGGACAGAGGTCTCAGGGGGGAAAAAAATCAAACCTGCTGACACCTTGATCTTGGACTTCTATCCTCTAGAACTTTTAAAAAATAAATTTCTGTTGTTTAAGCTACCTAGTCTGTAGTATTTTGTTATGACAGCCCTAGCAAACTAATACAATAGTCTCTTTTTTATAAAGAGACTTAGCATGACAGTCCTGGAAAACTTTTAGAAATAATTCAATAACTTTATGAATCTTACTTAATTCCTATAAATCAATATAACTTTAATTCATTATTTTAGAACTCAAGAATTTAAAATACCTACTTCCCAGACAAAGAGTATGAAAAAAATATTGGGACTACTAAATTTCCAAATGCCTAAATTAGCTAAGTACTATTCTCAGAGGGGAAAAGCAATTTATAAAAGAAATAACCAGATATACATTTCTGATATATATCTCTTTTAATAGCCATTTTGGAAATCTTGTGAATGGTATATGCAGAAGGCTTACTGGGAGTCAGTCACATAGATACAAATGTCACTCTGAATTATAAACTAAAGTAATTAAGAGTTCTCACATGCTGTAGGAGTAAATGACATTGGCCTGGGTCCTCCGGGATTTATTGGTGGGAGGGGTGGCATGGTGGGAGGTGAGGATCTTGACTGTATCTTCACTTCCACAGGCGATCCAGGCATTGCTGGCACCCTTTTCTCAGGACCAACTGTAGAAAATAAAAGAAATAGAGGTCAGAGTTTTCTATAAAATAATAAAAATAGTGACAATAATTTGAAATACTAACATACCAGTATTTTCCTAGAGGACTGAGAAGAAAATGCTTAGTTTAATAGACTGAATAGCGGTCCCCAGAAAGATATCAAACCTCTTAATCCCTTGAATTGTAAATGTTTCTGTACTTGGAAAAAGGGTCTTTGAAAATGTAGTTAAAGATTTTGAGAGGAGGAGATAATCCTGGATTTTCTGGTGGGCTCCAAATCCAATATAAATGAAACCTTCATAAGAAGAGCTGAAGAGATGCATACACAAACAGAAGACAACGTGAAGACATAGTCACACAGAGAGGACACAGAGTGACAATGGAGGCAGAGACTGAATGATGCATCTACAAGCCAAGGAATGGCAAGGATTATCAGCCAGCACGAGAAGCCAGGAAGAGAGGCATGGAATCAATTCTTCCTCTGAGGCCCCAGGAAAGAATCAGCCCTCCTGATACCTTCATTCTAGACCAGTGATGGCGAACCTTTTGAGCTCGGCGTGTCAGCATTTTGAAAAACCCTAACTTAACTCTGGTGCCGTGTCACATATAGAAATTTTTTGATATTTACAACCATAGTAAAACAAAGACATATTTTTGATATTTATTTTATATATTTAAATGCCATTTAACAAAGAAAAATCAACCAAAAAAATGAGTTCGCGTGTCACCTCTGACACGCGTGTCATAGGTACGCCATCACTGTTCTAGACCCTGGCCCCTGGACTATAAGAAGATTGTTGTTTAAGCCACCCAGACTGCGGGACTTTGCTACAACAATCCTAGAAAACTACAACAATGCAACAAGGTCAAAGACTGAAAGTTAACAGTGAGGACAGTGGCTGGGAAAGAAAGAAACCAGTTTATAAATTCTGCTGATCCCAACTACATTCTGTATAACTTCTCTTTATGGATGAATCAAGTTAATAAGGGGGAAAAACTAATGGGGAACTATTTAGATCAGTAGGTGTCAACTGCATGGCATAGAAACAAATATAATCAGTTGTATATAAATTACTATGCATGAAGTACTGAATTTTTGTTGTTGTTGCTAATCCTCACCCAAGGATATTTTTCCATTGATTTTTAGAGTATGGAAGAGAGGGAGGGGGAGAAACATCTATAGAAATATTGTTGTGAGAGAGAGACATTGATTGGTTGTCTTCTGCTAACAGGATAGAACCTGCAACCTAGGTACATGCCCTTGACTAGGAAAAAAAGCCGGACCCTTCAGTGTATGGGTGGACACTCTAACCAGCAAGCAACACTGTCCTGGGCTAAAGCACTAAATTTTTATACATATCAACTACTCTAATAGAAAAAAAGAAGTGGGCTCAACATCTTTGACATCAGGCATATAAATGTTGCTTATAATATCTGTTCAAAAAGATGAAAAGTAGAGATGATTCTAAACCAAGCACAGACTACTTCACCTATGAGGATAATACATAAGCAGTGTTTGATAACACTAGACAGCAACAAATTCCAGAAAAGATAAATTTGATAGATTATACTTAATGACATTAGAATTAGGTCTGAGCTCATATAAATAAGACTTGAGCCCTAGCTGGTTTGGCTCAGTGTACAGAGCATCGGCCTGCGGACTGAAGGGTCCCAGGTTTGATTCCGGTCAAGGGCACATGCCTGGGTTGCGGGCTCGATCCCCAGTGTGGGGTGTGCAGGAGGCAGCCAATCAATGATTCTCTCTCATTGATGTTTTTTATCTCTCTCTCCCTTTCCCTTCCTCTCTGAAATGAATAAAAATTATTAAAAAAAAGATTTGATTCTGAAGAGCAATATTTGAATATATTCAAAGTAATTTTCCACATTAAAGAAAATTTGTTATATACATGGTTAATAATAGAGCCAAGGCTACCATAATCATCTTTAAATTGAGCTATTTGCCTCTCAGTAATTCAAAGCTTTTCACTTAAGTTCCATGTACTTATTCTCCAATAAATCCAAGTAAAGTACAAGAAATGGACACCAAAGGTTCAAATGAGAATGTTAAATCAAAGATTTCTTTCAGTGGCATCACAGTTGTAAACACAATACATGACAAGGCAATAGGCACATCTTCGCACATTCATGCGCATGGTCTAATGAGGAAAATATCCCCAAATAATATTTTTAATGCTTCAGTTTGCCACATTTTTGGGAAGAAATATAACGAATACAGAAAGTCAATCAAGGAAGCAGTGCCCCTAAATTGCAAATTCCCCAACAAAAATGTGTAGCTCTCCAAGAGCCATGTGGGCAACACTCTGCCAGCCTTCCCCCTCTCTCTGTCCAGGACATTTTCTTTGTAAAATTGGTGGTTGTCCTGTCTGATTAGTGGACTAATGAGCTGTTGCGCTTGCCTTTTTCTTTTTGACAGTATTTTCTCAATGCCCTTCAGAGAAAAGTTGACACATTTCCAGCACTTCCATCTGGGGCCCAGCTTTCTGGAGGATTGAGGGGTGGGGGGTGGGGGATAGGGAAGGAAGGAACTGACAGTTGTCTCGCACTGTTATGTGTTGTGTATGGTGCGCAATAACCTAGAGGGTGCCTTTCTTCAGACCACCTGCCTTTACAGCAAGGGCGCCAAAGGCCTGAGGAAGGCTTAGCAATGAGATGTGTTTTAACATTCAGTACTTGGCAGAATGAAAAACTCAGAGCCGCCCAACTGCAGAATGCTAAATAATATACCAACTAAAAGCTTAGATACTGGGTAAAATGTAGCCCCCAGAGTACTATTTACAGATTAAAACTAACCATCTCTTGTTCAGGTCACTATTCACAAACCTGCAACACTAGTTCTTCCTCATGTTTCAAGCAATGAAAAAGCATGAGTACAGAGACTGGGAGATTTGCTGTGAATCCTCATTCTGTTACTAATGAATTTTTATCAAATAATTAAATATTTTTGGGCCTTATTTTCAACACTAGTAGCTCGGTGCATGAATTCATGCACATTGAAAGGAAATTAATTACAATAAATATTTTAATATCGCTATCCGCTCTTTCTCTATAATAGAAGTGTCAAAGATTAAAGAAAATTAGTAAAATGTATATGAAAATAATATATAAATTAATAAATAACAATAACAACATGATATAACAATAACAAATACATGATATAAAAACAACATTGATAAAAACAATGACTGGTAAATTGATTAAACTTATTCTAAAATATCCCTGTATACCACATTAACTGTAAAAACACTTTCAGAGTGCTTGACTAATTTCCCTTGTATTAGTCAAGGGAAGTATTTACAACTTTAACTTTAACGTCACACACTCTTCGAACTTGAGAGAAAGCAACATATAACTGACCATGTCCGAAAACGAGTTCAGGTAGGACTATTCCTCCTCTGTCTAGAGTTTGTCCTTGTGATTTATTAATAGTCATTGCAAATGCTGGCATCACAGGAAACTGTCTTCGAATTAATTTAAATGGGAGGCCAGTGTCAGACGGGAACAAATCAATTCTTGGACTTAGAACAACCTCTCCTTCCACAGATCCTGTTAATACTTCAGCTTCGATTATGTTAGGTGGCAATCTTGTGATAATAAATCTAGTACCATTACAAAGACCCCATTTACTATTAATATTTCTCAGTAGCATGATGATTGCACCTACTTTCCATTTTAATTTATGACATGGCATTCCCGAAGGAGTAATACTATTAAGAAATTCGATGGGAACATTTTCATTTTCGGCATCATCTGCTGAATCAATGGAATCATCACACAAATAGGTGTGAAAATCTCCATTGAGTATATCCAAAATTTCTTCATTTAATTTATGAACGTGCTCATTTTTTGGACAAAGAATCACATGTTTAGACTTCGCTCCTTTCTCTGCTTCGCTCCGTTCTCAGGAAGCCCTATTCTTGCAGGAATCTTCCTACAACGGGCATCTAGTATCTATTATATGAAGCACTAGAGGCCCGGTGCACGAAATTTGTGTGTGTGGGGGGGGTGTCCCTCAGCCCAGCTTGCACCCTCTCCAATCTGGGACCCCTCAAGGGATGTCCGACTGCCCTCTCACAATCCAGGACTGCTGGCTCCCAACTGCTCGCTTGCCTGCCTGCCTGATGGGCCCTAACCACTCCCCTGCCAGCCTGATTGATGCTTAACTGCTCCCCTGCTGGCCTGATTGCCCCTAACTGCCCTCCCCTGCAAGCCTGGTCCCCCCCAACTGCCCTCCCCTACAGGCCTGGGACCCACCAACTGCCCTCCCCTGCAGGCCTGGGACCCCCCCAACTGCCCTCCTCTGCTGGCCTGGTCACCCCTAACTGTCCTCCCTTGCAGGCCATCTTGTGTCCACATGGGGGTGGCCATCTTGTGTGTTGGAGTGATGGTCAATTTGCATATTATTCTTTTATTAGATAGGATTGCCAGTGCGTGTCATATATACCAGCCGGCTGGTCGGTCAGACGGTCAATCACTTAGCCTTTTATATATATAGATATGTAAAGTGAGAGATAAAATCTACCTGGCAGGAAAGATTTAAGGATTAGAGATAATGTTTAGACTAGTGCTAGGTAAAAAGAAGGTACTCAATACACAGCAAGGATGATTAGAAAACATGAAGACCAGTGTCAAGTTCTGATTTTGCCATTTAACTAGCCATGTGAATATGCCCAAGTTAATATTAACATTTGTTTTCCATGGGAAAACAGGTTTACTATCAACAATATTAATCCATCTAATGTCAGAGATGTTACATGGAATGATCCAAAACTCAGCAGTTATAAAAGCACCAAATACAATGTAAGATGGTATTTTTGTTGGAGGTTGGGTACCACTGAGATGTTTATCAATGCTGAGTTTTTGGGTAGAAGAAGATATGGTCAAATGCTCCTGATTATCATCACTGAGAAAAATGAGCCAAATATAGATCTTTCAGATGCATATAGTACAGCAATCCTGATCATTCTAAGCAGGTTGACCAAGGA